TAAAACTCTCTATATAATCAATGGTGATTATATTTATAGTATACTACTTCAAAACTCTTGCTCCCAAGAGTTTTATCAGGCTAACTCCTTGTCTTTCTTGCTAGAATACAAAAATATCAGAATTATACATTCTTAAGCTAAATCTTGCTTTAAAGCTAAATCCATGTTAAGGTGAAAAGAAAACATGAAATTCCCAAAGAACGTCAGAATTATTTTTATGAGATTTTACTAGTATATCACGTTTCACACAGAGCTATAGGTTAGCCACCCACAATGAGACGTGTTCAAGATATTCTTTCAGCCTGTACTTTAAATGTCCTGAGTTTGGTGCCAGAACCCTGTCACACAAAAGGTATTTCTTTATTTCCTTCCATCTCAATATGATATAAATCTCCTGGTCTCTTTTTGGAACTCCTTTAGCATTACTAAGTTTCACAGAAGGAAACAATACTCCAAGTTTGCTTCCATTGACTCTGTCCTTCACTTCCAACAGGGAGCATAAATGACTAGTTATCCAAAAAGGGCCATCAAGAGAGAAATTAAGCCATATCTCAATAATAAAAATATTCTATTTTCGGCTGGGCATGTTGGCTCACTCCTGTAATCCCAGCACTTTGGGAGGCCACGGTGAGTGGATCACCTGAGGTCAGGAGAGACCAGCCTGGCCAACATGGTGAAACCCCGTCTCTACTAAAAATACAAAAAAAATTTAGCCAGGCGTGGCGGCTCATGCCTGTAATCCCAGCTACTCGGGAGGCTGAGGCATGAGAATCGTCTGAACCTGGGAGGCGGAGGTTGCAATGAGCCAAGATCACACCACTGCACTCTAGCCTGGGCAACAGAGACTTGGTCTCAAAAAAAAAAAAACAAAACAAAAATTATATTTTCTTTATCACTTCCCCCACTCTCAACGTATTCTTGCTGTCAGATGGCCTCCACTGAATCAAGCATTTAAAAAATGCTCTACTGTTTCTCCCAATGCATTAGAATGCCATCAAGTGTCTGAGCGTAGATCACGACTGCTTCATTCCAGGTGTCTCACATCTGGTGCTAATCCTGCAGTGACCACTGTAATAAAGCAGGAAGTGCCTTTGCCTGGCTTTTATCCTAGCCATTCTCCAAAGGGCTCAATGAAAACTTGGACTTGGAATGTGAAAGCTGTTTAGTTTTTAAGAACAGCAATGAAAATCACAGCTTAGGACATCAATACCACAACAGGGCTTCATTTCCTTGGAATCACAGAAATTGCTATCCGTTTTTATTTTGTGTTACATGGAAAATATTAGCTTTCATTGGTGACACTTTCAAGCAAAAAAAAACCAAAAGTATGTAAATATAGATAGGATTTTATTTTTTGTTTCTAAGTCTAAAAAAGATAGCTATTTTTTGTTTCTAAGTCTAAAAACAGAATAGCTAAAGTGATTTGTACTGAAAAACAGATGAGCACTTGGAGAATACTCATGATTCTTGACACAACTGTCTTTTCCTGTGGTCATTCACTCTAGACAACAGAAAATAGCAAAAAACACATTATAACAGCTGTGATGGAGTCAGATGCATCCATTTACAGCAAGTCCACAACCATGGCAAATACCAGTGAATTCCAAGCCAGCCATAAAAGTAAGAGCTAAGCCCCTAAAGTTTACCAAGAATCAAAGGCAGTGCTATTTTTATTTCTCTCCACCCTTTTGTTTCTAGAGCAATACATGTTGAGGAAAGAATTAAAGGAAGCAAGGAAACAAAGAGAGTGGGAAGTTGTAAAATACATATGTGTGTATATGTAAATATATAATTCACATTTATCTAGTAGTGGCTTTTCCAGATTATCTTGCTAGAGATTTATCTACCTTCCAAATAAGCCTTGAAGTGCTAAATTTATAGTTTTAGATAGGTTACCACCTCCCCAAATTTACCAAACTCCTAAAATATTATTGTTTTAATCTGACTAAAAATAGGCCAGGCACAGAGACTCAGGCCTGTAATCTCAGCATTTTGGGAGGTCAAGACAGGAGAACTGCTTAAGTCCAAGAGTTCCAGATCAGCCTGGGCAACAAAAAGTAAAAAATTAGCCAGGCATGGTGGTGTGCAGCTACTCAGGAGACTGAGGTCGGGGGATCGCTTGAGCCCAGGAGGTCGAGGCTGTAGCAAACTGTGATTGTGCCACTGCACTCCAGCCTTGGCCACAGAGTGAGACTCTGTCTCAAAAAAAAAAAAAGGAAAAACAAACAAAAAAAGACTAAAAATAAAATCTTTTAAATGACCTTCATTAATTTTAATTATTTTTGTGTTACCATATGGTTCATGTATTTGCCATATGCTTAATTTTTACTTTTTTTTTTTTTTTTTTTTTTTGAGACAAGGTCTCACTCAGTTGCCCAGGCTGAAGTGCAGTGGCATGATCATGGCCCACTGCAGGCTCAACCTGCTGGGCTCAAGTGATCCTCCTACCTCAGCCTCCCAAATGGCTGGGACCACAGGCATACACCACCACACCTGGCTAACTTTATTTTTTGTAGAGATAGAGTTTTGTTATATTGCCCAGGCTGGTCTCAAACTCCTGGCCTCAAGGGATCTTCTGGCTTCAGCCTCCCAAAGTACTGGGATTATAGGGGTAAGCCACTGCATTTAGCCTGCCATACACGTTTAACTCTTAAGTTTGATGACTTCTAAATTTCTTTTCATGCCAAGCTTTTTGGGGGACATATAACTGCCACACAACATAAGTAAATGTGGCAGCCATAAATGGCAGAATAGAGGTGATATGGCTGAAGAAGAGGATTCAGGAAAACAAGGGTTACATTAACAGAGTGATGATTGAATGGGTGGATGTAAGGCAATTTCAAACAGCTTGCCAAAGGAAAGCCTCATTTTTCCATTTTCTTGTACAGTATCTAATTTCTGGCTCCTCATTTCCTCAGTGATCTGAAAATTATGAAATTCTAAATAAAGTGTCATCTTTCTTGCAACAAGTCAATGAACAGAAAGCTCCCATCAACAATGCAGATATTTCCTAAAGCTCCTGCTCATTATTTCCTGAATGTCTACCCCACAAACCACACAGAAAGTTCTTTGAGAACAAGAATTTGAGAACAAGAAACTGACTCTACCCCATGACAAATTCAGCTTCTGTGTGTGTTCATGCATGTGTGTGCATGTGTGTATATATTTTAAAAGAGGATTAAGAAGTATAATAATATTCAGCTGACAGTAATGAGTTAACATAAATTGCCTTTTATTACCAAATTAAGATCGAAATTTAGTCCTTTCTCAATGCTGTGGTAAAAATACAGGAAAGAATTTCTCCTCGTTGTATATTTGTACCTACAGCTGCAGTAAAAGTGTTTTTGCATTCCTTATCAAAGATTTATACCAATAGAATCACCAGATACACCATTATATTTAGGTCATTCCTCTCCAAATTTAAAATAATTCCATCTTTATTCCACATGCCACCCTTAGAGTAATCATAAAACACAAAGGCAAACTTGTGAAATTAAAAAAATTCTATAATTTACTAAGTCTCCAGGTACATAACTAAGCCTAAACTTATCTATTAATAAAATAACATTATGGAGAACTTTGTTTTAAACACTCTTTCAACCTACCAAAAATTATAGATATTCCCACTTTTGCAAAAAACTCCCATCTTCTGCATTCTGTTTGTTTCAATTATTCAGGGCAACCCAGGCTGATAATTACACAGTCCCCAGTTGCTGAGTAAAAGTGATGCTTAATTAGCCAGCAGGAAAGATCGATTAAGATCCAGCAGGGCATCTCATGAGGTTCTCTCACATTCCTGAACGGAATAGATTCTGGCTGTGCCCTTCCGAAGGATAAAATTCTCTGTTTCTACGGAGTTTCAATGAGGTTTTTAGAGTAGATACTAAGAACGGTCAGCCACACAAATTAAATCTCAACCATAACCCTGCAGATGCTCTTCCTGTGCTAAGAATATTCAGTTTAAACATTCTGAATCACATTGCCACCAGGTTTGAAAAAGCTAAAGGAACACTCACTTATCCCTTGCTCTCATTCAGTTACCCATTTCAAGCAATAGGTGGTCAGAAAATATATTATAAAGGAAAATTTTTATTTTTTCCTCCCCCAAGCAAGTGTTTGCATCTGACAGATGCTCACATTCTAAAATGCACAAATCAGGTCAGGGCTTCTTATTTTTAAAAAATGAACATATTTTAACCCAGTCCAGGAATAAAACATCCCAATATGGTCAAATAATTGACTTGATAAGTTTCATTTAAGTTTTCTTTTTTTTTTTTTTTTTTTTTTGAGACGGAGTCTCACTCTGTCCCCCTTGCTGGAGTGCAGTGGCCGGATCTCAGCTCACTGCAAGCTCCGCCTCCCGGGTTCAGGCCATTCTCCTGCCTCAGCCTCCCGAGTAGCTGGGACTACAGGCGCCCGCCACCTCGCCCGGCTAGTTTTTTTGTATTTTTTAGTAGAAACGGGGTTTCACTGTGTTAGCCAGGATGGTCTCGATCTCCTGACCTCGTGATCCACCCGTCTCGGCCTCCCAAAGTGCTGGGATTACAGGCTTGAGCCACCGCGCCCGGCCTCATTTAAGTTTTCTATGAGGGAAGGAGATGTGGAAGTAAAATCAGTACCAAAAATCATAATGAACATTATCTCATACTGCCTAACACTTTCTCATTAATAATTTGGACATGCATAAATGTTTATCTTTCACCATTTTTTAGTTAAATGCAAAAGTGGCCAATGAAGGCTAACATAAAAATCCAAAGCTAAAAGCAGAATAATTACCTCAAGATACACACATAATTATCAAAACATTTTTATTTTGGTAAACTACACTAACTATGCTTGCCTGCCTCCAATTCAATTCAGCAAATATTTATTAAGTTTCTGTCAAGTATAAAGAACTATGATAAGTATGATATGTATGTCTTACCTTGTGACTTTATTTTACTGATTATAAATCGTTTTAAAGCTTATGAAGAAGATTAATGGAACCAGTTTATACAAACCTGGCTTTGATTTGCTGAAAGCCCCGTAGAATATGGTCTCTGTGATCCCTTGCAACAGCGCTGAGGTTCTCATTCCGCAAACCTTCTGCCAGAAACTCTTCAGCATCTAAAAGAAAAGGAAAGTTGATAAAACAGAAAAAATGTACTATGGGATGTACTATGGGAGAAAGGAAAATCAGAAGGATTGAGAAATGGGTATTGTTTTCTTTTTAAAAACTTTACAGTTGTGGCACAATGTGAATGTGCTTAATGCCACAGAACTGTATACTTTATAATAGTTAAGATGGTAAAATTTATATTTTGTATATGTTACCAGAATAAATAACTAAAATTTTATATATACCTGTAGGTGACATGTTTTAATAATCCAAGACCTTGCTATGAATTTAGAAAACTATCACCTATATTAGCTATAAGAAATAACTATTTTCTAAATCATTTTAAGTAAACATTTACATATTAATTATCACTAATGGCAGAGGATGGACTGTAAATTTCTTTCTTTTTTTGTTTGGAGATGGAGTCTCACTCTGTTGCCCAGGTTGGAGTGCAGTGGCGTCATCTCGGCTCACTGCAACCTTCACCCGCCGAGTTCAAGCGATTCTCCTGCCTCAGCCTCCTGAGTAGCTGGGACTACAGGCGCACGCTGCCACACCCAGCTAATTTTTGGTATTTTAGTAGAGATGGGTTTTCATCATGTTGTCCAGGCTGGTTTTGAACTCCCGAGCTCAGACAATCCGCCTGCCTCGGCCTCCCAAAGTGCCAGGATTACAGGGGTGAGCCACCGCACCCGGCCTGGACTGTCAATTTCATAAATATGTAAATATTATAAATAAGTCACAGAAGGTCACAGGCCAATAGAAGCTACAAAAAAATACCAATTAATAGAGCCAAAATAAAAAATAGAGCTGAACTGCAAAAATCAAAAACAAAAGGGCAGGCATTCAAAGAAACATTAATTAGCAGATGCATCATCAATGAAAATGACAATACAACCAAGTGAAGGAACCCACATGGGAAAGAAAAACGTCTTCAAGAGACGGGAACTGCAATTAATGTGAACATACATTATAAAATAGGGACATGATGGAAATTCATAATATGAAACAAATCATGATATGTTGAAGGAAGAAATTGGGGGGGGTCTACAAATTTTCAAAGACAAAATACACTGATAGTGATTACAACTGCCAGAAATACTAGCTACACATTTTATTCTGCACAAAAGGTTTGTCATCCCCCAAAAGCATATAAATAATATAGTTAAAATTTTCCACCTCCAAAAATTGTGCCTGTAATATGAAACTGTATCATATATATCAGGGGTCCCCAACCCCTAGGCCACATAGAGGAACCTTATTTCCTCAGTGATCTGATAATTATGAAATTCTAAATAAAGGGCCACATGGTAGGAGGTGAGCAGCAGGTAAGCAAGTGAAGCTTCAGCTGTATTTACAGCTGGTCCCCATCACTTCCATTACCACCTGAGCTCCATCTCCTGTCAGTTCAGTGGCAGCATTAGATCCTTATAGGAGCACAAACCCTATTGTGAACTGTGTATGTGAGGGATCTACGTTTTGTGCTCCTTATGAGAATCTAATGCCTGACGATCTGTCACTGATTCCTGTCACTCTCAGATGGGACCATCTAGTTGCAGAAAAACAAGCTCAAGGCTCCCACCGATTCTACATTAGGCTGAGTTGTATAATTTTTTCATTATATATTACAATGTAATAATAATAGAAATAAAGTGCACAATAAATCTAATGCTCTTTAATTATCCCCAAACCATCCCCCGACCCCTGGTCCATGGAAAAATTGTCTTCCACGAAACCAGTCCCTGGTGCCAAAAAGGTTGGGGACCCCGATATATACTATCAAAATATTGCTATGAATTTATATAGTTGGATAAATACACCTAAAACTTTGTTTTATATTCACATCATTTAACAACACTAGGCCAGGCGCGATGGCTCACGCCTGTAATCTCAGCACTTTGGGAGGCCAAGGCGGGCAGATCATGAGGTCAGGAGATTGAGACCATCCTGGCCAACATGGTGAAACCCCCCTCTCTCTAAAAATACAAAAATTAGCTGGGCATAGTGGCACACCCCTGTAGACCCAGATACTTGTGAGGCTGAGGCAGGAGAATCACTTGAACCAGGGAGTTGGAGGTTGCAGTGAGCTGAGACTGCACCACTACACTCTAGCCTGGCGACAGAGAAAGACTCCGTCTCAAAAAACAAAAACAAAAACAAACAAACAAAAAAACACCAAACAAAAAATCCTAAACAGCCATCTCTAGGACTTTTGACAAGATACAAAGCCCTGGAAATTGAATATTTTACAAAGGACCACCATCAGCATCCAAGTTCTGCATTGTATCTATTGCATATGTGATTTAATGGGTTCCACTAGGGTCCTTTGAATGCTAACGAAAGAGGAAATGGGAAGCTGAATTAAAAGGCAAAAATAAATGGCATCTAAGATTCAATTTATGTAATATATCATAACAATAAAATAAAGGAAAAAAACCACATGATCATCTCACTAGACACAGAAGAAGCATCAACAAAATTCAACAGCCCTTCGAGATAAAAATTCTCGACAAACTAGGAATAGAAGGAAGCTTCCTCAAACTAATAAATAAAAAGCATTAACACAAACCCACAGCTAACATTGTACTTAATGATTAAAGCCTGGCCAGGCATGGTGGCTCATGCCTGTAATCCCAACCTTCTGGGAGGCTGAGGCAAGAGGATCACCTAAGGGCAGGAGTTTTGAGACTAGCCTAGATGATATCGAGAGATCCCCTCTCTACAAAAAATAAATTTAAAAAAATTGGCTGGTGCATGCCTGTAGTCCTAGCTACTCAAGAGGCTCAAGTGGGAGGATCACTTGAGCCTGGAAGGTTGAGGCTGCAGTGAGCCATGACTGGGCCACTCCAGCCTGGGTGACAGAACAAGACTCTGTCTCAAAAAAAAAAAAATTGTAAAAGAAAATAAATGGTCGAAGACTGAATACTTTCTCTATGTTCCTTAGATCAGGAATGAGATAAGGATGTCTGTTCTCACCACTTATACTGAACATTGTACAGGTGATGCCAGCCAGGACAATTAAGCAAGAAAATGAAATAAAAAGCATTCAAACTGGAAAGGAAGAAATAAAACTATCTCTATTTGCAGATGACATCTTGTATATGGAACACCCTAAGGAATCTATTAATAAACTATTAAAAGTAATAACCGAGTTCAGCAAGTTTGCAGGATGTAAGATCAATGTACAAAAATTAACTATTTCTTTTTTCTTTTCTTTTCTTTTTTTTTTTTTTTGAGATGGAGTCTCACTCTGCCTCCCAGGCTGGAGTGCAGTGGCGCAATCTCCGCTCACTGCAACCTCTGGCTCCTGGGTTCAAGCTATTCTCCTGCCTCAGCCTTTGAGTAGCTGGGACTACAGGCACGCAACACCACACCTGGCTAATTTTTGTATTTTTAGTAGAGACAGGGTTTCTCCTCATTAGGTAGGTTGGTCTCAAACTCCTGACCTCAGGTGATCCACCTGCCTCAGCCTCCCAAAGTGCTGGGATTACAGGTGTGAGCCACCTCGCCCAGCCAATCAACTGTATTTCTATATAGTGGCAATGAGCAAACAAAAAGGACATTAATAAAATTCCATTTAAGCTAGCATGTAGGGCCGGGTGCGGTGGCTCAAGCCTGTAATCCCAGTACTTTGGGAGGCCAAGACGGGCGGATCACGAGGTCAGGAGATCAAGACCATCCTGGCTAACACGGTGAAACCCTGTCTCTACTAAAATATACAAAATAAAATAAAATAAAATAAAAAACTCGCCGGGCGAGGTGACGGGCGCCTGTAGTCCCAGCTAGTCGGGAGGCTGAGGCAGGAGAATGGCATAAACCCGGGAGGCGGAGCTTGCAGTGAGCTGAGATCGCGCCACTGCACTTCAGCCTGGGCGACAGAGCGAGACTTCCTCTCAAAAAAAAAAAAAAAGATAGCATGTAGGATGGGCATAGTGGTCCATGCTTGGGATTATTCCCAGCACTTTGGGAGGCCAAGGCGGGCAGATCATTTGAGCCCAGGAGTTGGTCAACATGATGAAACCCCCGCCTCTACAAAAAATACAAAAATTAGGCAGGCATGGTGGTGCTCATCTGTGGTCCCAGCTACTCAGGAAGCTAAGGTGGGAGGATCACTTGAGCCCAGGGAGGTTGAGGCTGCAGTGAGCTGAGATCACATCACTGTACTCCAGGCTGGGTGACAGAGCAAGACCTTATCTCAAAAATAAAAAAAAAAAAAATTAAAAAATTTAAAAAAGAAATAAAGCAGGTAAAAGAATTAAGAATTAAGTACAGGTAAAATAAATAGAACATACTCTATGTTCATGATCAGAAGACAATATCGTTAAAATGGCAATACTCCCCAAACTGATCTAAAGCTTTTATGTAACCCCTATCAAAATCCCAGCTGGCTTTTTTTGCAGAAATTGAAAAGCTAATCCTAAAATTAACTCGGAAATGTAAGGAATCCAGAATGGCTCAAACAATTTTGAAAAAGAAAGACAATGGCCGGGCATGGTGGCTCACACTTGTAATACCTGCACTTAGGAGGCTGAGGTGGGTGGATCACCTGAGGTCAGGAGTTCCAGACCAGCCTGGTCAACATGGAGAAACCTCATCTCTACTAAAAATACAAAAATTAGCTGAGTGTGGTGGCTGGTGCCTGTAATCCCAGCCGCTTGGGAGGCTGAGGCAGAATAATTGTTTGGACCTCCCGGGTTTACGCCATTCTCCTGCCTCAGCCTCCCGACTAACTGGGACTACAGGCGCCCGCCACCTTGCCCGGCTAGTTTTTTGTATTTTTTTTAGTAGAGATGGGGTTTCACCGCGTTAGCCAGGATGGTCTCGATCTCCTGACCTCGTGATCCGCCCATCTCGGCCTCCCAAAGTACTGGGATTACAGGCTTGAGCCACCGTGCCCAGCCTATTCTTTCTTTCTTTCTTTCTTTCTTTCTTTCTTTCTTTCTTTTTTTTTTATGAGACAGAGTCTCGCTCTATTGCCCAGGCTGGAGGGCAGTGGTTCGATCTCAGC